TCTTTTCTCTTTAAAAAAGAAAAAGAAGAGGGGGAATTTCTCTACAGCTGTTAACCATCTCCAGTTTGTTAACATGTCTCTAAGTCCTGTGATTTTTTTTTTTTTTTTTTTACTGTGCAAAATTGGTGATAACGTCTCCCAATCATTCTAAATCTCTTCTTTCTCTATACAAAATTTGGTTTAAACTCCAGAAATTTATTTGGGGTAGAACACTTAGCCAACATGCATGAAGCCTTGGGCTCTAACCAGCAGCCTTGTAAGAAGTAATGATCAGGACAGTAGAAACTTTGGGGAAAAAACAAACAAACAAACAAACAAAAATGAATGACTGGCTATTTGGAGCTGTATTAGTCAGTGTTCTATTGCTGTGAAAAGACACCATGACCATAGCAACTCATAAAAAAAAGCTTTTAATTTTGGCTGGCTTACAGTTACAGAGGTTTAGTCCATTATCATCATGGTAAGGAACCAGGCATATGTGATGCTGGAGAATAGCTGAGAATTCTACATCTGGATCCATTGGCAGGAAGAAAGGAAGTCCACTGGAACCTGCCTTGGACTTTTGAACCCTCAAAGCCCTCCCCCAGTGACACACTTCCTCCAATAAGACCACACTTCCTGTACTAGCTGGTTTTGTTTGTCAACTTGACACAAGCTGGAGTTATCATGGATAAAGGAGTCTCCCTTGAGGAAATGCCTCCGTGAGATCCAGCTGTAAGGCATTTTTTCAATTAGTGATCAAGGGTGGGAGGGCCCATAGTGAGTGGTGCCATCCCTGGGCTGGTAGTCCTGGGTTCTATAAGCAAACAAGCTGAGCAAGCCAGGGGAAGCAAACCAGTAAGTAACATCCCTCCATGGCCTCTGCATCAGCTCCTGCTTCCTGACCTGCCTGAGTTCCAGTCCTGACTTCCTTTGGTGATGAACAGCAGTATGGAAGTGTAAGCTAAATAAACCCTTTCCTCCCCAACTTGCTTCTTGGTCATGATGTTTTGTGCAGGAATAGAAACCCTGACTAAGACATCTCCTAATCATTTTTTTTTAAAGATTTATTTATTTTATTTATATGAGTACACTGTAGCTGTCTTCAGACACACCAGAAGAGGGCATCAGATCCCATTACAGATGCTTGTGAGTCACCATGTGGTTGCTGGGAATTGAACTCAGGACCTCTGGAAGAGCAGTCAGTGCTCTTAACCACTGAGCCATCTCTCCAGCCCCATTTTTTTTTTTTTTAAATAATGCCACTCTCTACTGACTTAGCATTCAAATATATGAGCTCATGGGGGCGTTCTTATTCAAACCACCACAGGAACCATGTTATTGAGAACAGTATGATTGAATTTTTATTTTGGGGGGCGGGGGTAGGGGTCTGTCGAGACAGGGTTTCTCTGTGTAGCCCTGGCTGTCCTGGAACTCACTCTGTAGACCAGGCTGGCCTCAAACTCAGGAATCTGCCTGCCTCTGCCTCCCAAATGCTGGGATTAAAGGCATGTGCCACCACTGCCCGACGAATTTTTATTTTTAAGAATTTGGAGCTAGATGTGGTAATGCACAACTTTAATTCCAACACTTGGGAGGCAAAGGCAGCAGATCTCTGTGAGTTCAGGGGTAACCTGGTCTACATAGTAAGTTCCATGCTAGCCAGAGTTAGTAAGAGTGTCTCAAATTAAATACTTTTAAATGAATTTGGGGTCGTAGGGATATGCCTCATCAAAAGAGCATGTGTGAAACCTGGGTTCGATCCCAATCCCAAACACCCACAAGTCTAATGAAACTTGTGAACGATATTAGGAAAAATCCCTTCCCATGTCTTTAAATGGGAATATACAACAGGTTTTTTAATTAATTGTTACAAGACAATACATTGTTTGCTTTGACTGTTTGAGGTAGGGCTATATAAGATAGCCCTGGCTGACTTCAGACTTACTCTGTACCCAAAGATAAGCTTAACTCCTGATCCTCCTGCCTCTACCTCCCAAATACTGGGAGTCCGTTTGTGCCAGCATGTGCTGCACACATGATGACTTGTTTCTCTTTCAATGCAGTGGAGGACATTCTGAATGTCTTTTGCAGCATGACCTGGACATCCCAAATATCTTTTTCTGATATGATCTTACTGCAGCAAGGGCTTTTCTAGCAGTTGTTAAGAGGTTACCTATGCTGTGGACTAAACTATTAAAATTCTGTCTGCTTAGTAGCTTTGCAGAGTCACTTGTTGGCTCAGTAAAAAGTGAAATTAAAACACTAGCCATAGTATAAAGATTCTTTTACTTCAAATACTACAATGCAAAAGTCCATTCCCTCGTCATAAAGACAGTTGAGTAAGCAGTAAGACATGAAGCAGGCTGACCTGACTCTTCTGCGTTTTGGGACTCAAAGGTACCCTCAAGGGTAGCATCAGGCAAATTCCCATATAACCAATTTCTTATATTTTAATTTCTAGGAAACAAAAAATTTCAAGGTAAATATTGTACATTGAAAACTGTAACAGTTGCATGATACTCTGTACCATACATTGATAGAGCAAAAATCACTTTATAAAATTAGGATTTCTAGTCTGACATGAAACCTTCCTATAATTTTAGCATTCGGGAGGCAAGAGGATTAAGAAGTGAATACCACCTGGGCTACTTAGTGAAAAAAGGGTTGGGGGTGTAATTCAGTGGTAGAGAGCTTCCCTACCAAGAACAAAGCCCTGAGTCCAACCTCCAGAACTCGGTGGGGGTGAGGTGAATGTGACTCCTCAGAGTTGTCATCTAATCTTGCTCTATCATTCTTTTGGTGACCTTCCCAAACCTTGATCTGTTTCCCACCAAGATGTCTGACCTGTTGTGTGTCTTGTGTGTCTTTTGGCTGGCTTGTGTGTTTATTAGCTGGCTGCATTCCAGCAGTTCGGACCTCAGCTCGCCCCTATCAAGAGACTTCCTTTTATCTGCTCCTCAGAGCTCCTCCTCAGAGCTCCTCCTCTCCTGGTTCCATATCTTCTTGATTTAGACTTTACATTCCACCTTTAGAGAACATCCTATGTATTATAAAGTAAGATAATTGATGAATATGAAATTTTATTTTGTCCTCCTCTCCTGTTTGATGCTTTGGCTAGTTTTCCTTTAAAGAAGCTCGCTGCTGGCTTTGCAGTGTTGTTTAGAACCATTTTATCAGTAGTGCTTTCCAATGCTTTCCTTCTCAGTGTTACTTCAACATAAGTTCAGTCTCTCTTGGGACCAGAAGTGTTTTAAATTTTGTTTGTTTTCACAAATTTTGGAATTTTTACACATTCTTGGGAATGAGCCCAAGTCTAAGAAATTCATTCATGTTTTATGTATACATTACACATATAACATGATAGTCATTTCACACAGCATTTTTAATGTGCTCATGTTTTGCCTGCAGCCAACTATGTGGGCACGTGTGGGATCTTCCACTGGTGACAACATGCAACACTTTAAAAGTATTTGAGAATTTATATTAGGAATCCTCAAACCATCTTCATTATTTCTAGAATTCTAGGTTTTTAGAATGCTGTACTGTTTAGCAGGCTCCTTGACTATAGAAACTCATGTCCCTGTCTCTGTTCTGAGGAAAAAGAATACTGTTGCATATAATAGAAGTACTAAGTGATGGTGTCACTTGAAAAGTTAGGTAAAATTAGGATTTTATTTTAAAATGTACTACTTTACATTTTAAAATGTAAAGTCTTTAACCACATTACTTGACTGTTGAGATTTTTAATGTTCTAAAATTTAAAAACGTAATCATAATTAGCATATCAAGTGACTGATTTTTCTCAGATACAAAATCTCGCTTTCATTTGCAAAATATTTATAATTATAGGACTATGACTCTCAATTCCTAGCTTAACTTTTGCTTCACTTAAAAAATAAAGTGAAGCTGGAAGGATGGCTCAGAAGTTAAGAGATTTTTAGTTCTTGCAGAGGACCTAGGCTTGGTTTCCAGCACACGCACCGGGAGGTTCACAACCACCTATAGCTACAGTTTCAGGGGACCTGATACCTCTAACCTACTCAGGCGTCTGCATGCACATGGTACGCATAAACACACTGGCACACAAATAGAATTGAAAATGACTAAAAAAAAAATAGAAATAGTTATATAAATTCATTATAAATTCTAATATGTGTAGCCAAGGATGCCCTGTAGAATTTACCTGCTTATTTTCACGTGATCAAGAATGTAAGAGTATTATGTGAGTAAAATACTTCTAAAAGCTATGGCGATTGATCATGATGTAACCACTGATTGAGATTAATTGGCAAAACTCATTTAAGAATATTTACTTGGCATTCCTATTACTCAGTCAGTGGTAATTATTTACTTAAAAAGTTGTAAAAACTTTACAACTTAAATTTGTTCTTGTTTGAATCAGTAGAAATGGAAACAAGAGAAGAAACAATACAGGGTATTAGTTCTCAACCACTAGCTCATAGATTTGTAACTATTTCTTCTTATAAGGAAATTCACTGGTCTGTTGTGAAATAAGAAAAATAAAGTGAAAGTCAGATAAAATGACACGTGCCTGCAATTCTAGCACAGAGTTGGGGTCAGGAGAAATGTTGCAAGTTTAAGGCCAGCCTTGGGCCACATAGAGATTTCCAGGTTGGCCAAGGCTACATTACAAGATGCTGTCTCAGAAAACCAATAAGAGAAAAATAAGGAAAGGAGAAGTAGGCATAAGGTATACTGCAAAATTAGGAATTTTTTCTATCCAAGCTTGTATTATGGCTGAAAGAGGACACATACTAAAAATTAGCTGTGACAAAGGAATCCATTATCTTGCCTCCATTGTACTAGACAATATTATCCCAATATGGTAGAACAATACATTAAAATGGGAACAAGACACCTGGGGCTGCCTTACAGCATGGCCAGTACTCTTGCATGTACCAGTTAGGCTTTTCATCTGGTGTCCAAATAAGGCTTAACGTACAATCTAGCATAGGCAAACAGGTTGCTAATGACTTCCTTTTTTTCTTTTTTCTTAGAACTGTCCAGAAAGTGCCCAGAAGAAACTTCCTCTCAGAAAAGCTGAAAACACAGTATTTATAACACTGGAAATTGTAAAGAATTTGTTTAAAATGGCTGAAAACAATAGTAAAAATGTAGATGTACGGCCTAAAACAAGTCGAAGTAGAAGTGCTGACAGGAAGGACGGTTATGTGTGGAGTGGAAAGAAGTTGTCTTGGTCCAAAAAGAGTGAGAGTTGTTCTGAATCTGAAACCATAGGTACTGTTGAAAATGTTGAAATTCCTCTAAGGAGCCAAGAAAGGAAGCTTAGCTGTTCGTCCATTGAGTTGGACTTAGATCATTCCTGTGGGCATAGATTTTTAGGCCGATCCCTTAAACAGAAACTACAAGATGCCGTAGGACAGTGTTTTCCAATAAAGAATTGTAGTGGTCGACACTCTCCAGGGCTTCCATCTAAAAGAAAGATTCATATCAGTGAACTCATGTTAGATAAATGCCCTTTCCCACCTCGATCAGATTTAGCCTTTAGGTGGCATTTTATTAAACGACACACTGTTTCTATAAGTCCCAATTCAGATGAATGGGTGAGTGCAGACCTATCTGAGAGTAAATTGAGAGATGTTCAGCTGAAACGAAGAAACACAGAAGATGACATATCCTGTTTCTCACATACCAGTGTCCAGCCTTGTGTCATAACTACCAACAGTGCTTCGTGTACAGGTGGTCACATAACTGGTTCTATGATGAACTTGGTCACAAACAACAGCATAGAAGACAGTGATATGGATTCAGAGGATGAAATTATAACACTGTGCACAAGCTCCAGAAAAAGGAACAAGCCCAGGTGGGAAATGGATGATGAAATCCTGCAGTTGGAGGCACCTCCTAAGTTCCACACCCAGATCGATTACGTCCACTGCCTTGTTCCAGACCTCCTTCAGATCAGTAACAATCCGTGCTACTGGGGTGTGATGGATAAGTATGCAGCCGAAGCTCTGCTAGAAGGGAAGCCAGAGGGCACCTTTTTACTTCGAGATTCAGCACAGGAAGATTATTTATTCTCTGTTAGTTTTAGACGCTATAGTCGTTCTCTTCACGCTAGAATTGAACAGTGGAATCATAACTTTAGCTTTGATGCCCATGATCCTTGTGTCTTCCATTCTCCTGATATTACTGGGCTTCTAGAACATTATAAGGACCCAAGTGCTTGTATGTTCTTTGAGCCACTTTTATCCACTCCATTAATCCGGACTTTCCCCTTTTCCTTGCAGCATATTTGCAGAACAGTTATTTGTAATTGTACGACTTATGATGGCATCGATGCCCTTCCAATTCCTTCTCCTATGAAATTGTATCTGAAGGAATACCATTATAAATCAAAAGTTAGGTTACTCAGGATTGATGTGCCAGAGCAACAGTGATGTGGAGAGGTTAGAATGTTAGCCTGCATACATATTTTCATTTCATATTTTATTTTTCTTATGCATCTTTGAATTTTTGTACAAAGGCAGTTGGAATTCAGAATAAAACTGTGCCCTAAGTTTTAATTCCAGATCAATTTATTTTTTTTATGATACACTTGTTATATATTTTAAGCAGGTGTTTGGTTTTTGTTTTTACCATGTAAATTGTATACTTTTTCCCTTAATTTACATATGGTCCAAGCATATTTACAATTTCAAGGCATTACATATACATTTGAATATTCTGTATTTTTTTAAAATCATCTTTTGCTCTTTTCTACATGTGGAATATTTTGCTAATCTATGCTATCAGTATTCTTGTGACAGGATATGACAGAATAGTCACCTAGCCTCTTTTCATTTTGAAGATCTTCAGTAAAGATGAGTGTTATAATCAATCCGTTATAATGTAATTGACTTTTGTAATTTGCCAGTAGGAATGCTAAACAACAAAATGATTTAAAATGAAACAGTGTATTTTCATTTTACATATTAACTAAAACAAGTTTGTTTGTTTGTTTGTTTGTTTGTTATTCTAGCCAATGAGGAAAGAGAATGTTATGTTCTAGAGGTGTATTTGTTCCGCAGTTTGGCAGGATCAGCAGTTATCCAAACACAGCATTCCCTCAAATCTGGAGGTGAATGTAACTTGTGTTCCTTTCTTACTGGAAGCGTTACAAAGCAAAATAGCAGTATTAGACGCTTGGAGTTGCTAAGGCAATTGGAGTTTTCTCTATTGATTTATGGACTGTTGCATCTACTTAGTTCTTTTTTAGGAACTCTGGGTCCCAGGGGAAAATACATAGTTTCTAAACAGTTCCTGTATCCATCAGTAACAAAAACCTGAAAAGTTTCTCAATTATTTTAAATTGAACTTAAATAAAGATGCAAATAAAAACATGGCTCAGTATTTAGGACGCTTAATATTGCTTTTGGTATTTACATCCTAAATATTCATTTCTGTCTTCAGAACTAACATATATTTTATGTGGCATGGCAATAGCTCCATGACATGACGTCACAGGCCTAGAGTAACTGCAGAGTGGAGGGTTGCCTTGTTTCTCTCTTCAGTGACTGACCTTGACAGAGTGCCCAGTTTTCCTTGTGGTGAGCTATCTGCCTCTTTTAAATATTGTACTAATTATTTTACTTATCTTTTTTTATGTGTGACAGTGTCTCTCCATGTAGTCTAGGCTGACCTCAAATTTGAGCTCCTTCAGCCTGAATCTCGGGATTACCTGTTTGACCCACCATGAAGATAGATAGATTTCTTCCTTCCTTCCTTCCTTCCCCCCTCTCTCCCTCCCTCCCTCCCTCACTTCCTTCTTTCCTTCTTTTCTCTTTTTCTTTGTTATTGTTGTTGCTATTTGCTTGGCTTGGTTGGTTGTTTAGTTGGTTGGATTTTGGTTTTTTGAAAACAGAATCTCTCTGTGTAATTTGAAAACAGGGTCTCTCTGTGTAATCCTGGCTATCCTGTAGCTTGCTGAGTAGACCAGGCTGTCATCAAACTCAGAGAAATACTACTGCCTTTGCCTTCCAAGTACTGTACTAAAGGCATCTGACACCATGTCTGACAACATGCATGGCTAATAATCCCTCCCTCCCTCCCTCCCTCCCTCCCTCCCTTCCTCCCTCCCTCCTTCCCTCCCTCCCTTCCTCCCTCCCTCCCTCCTTCCCTCCTTTTCTCTTTCTTTCTTTCTTCCTTCCTTCCTTCCTTCCTTCCTTCCTTCCTTCCTTCCTTTCTTTCTTTCTTTTTGATAATGTATTTCTTGATGTTAGTTCAGCTGAATTAGAAAATTTGCTTCAACCTGATTGAAAGAACATTAACTCAAACATTTCTGAGTTAGAACAGATATTTCTTGTTGGCATGGTGATGCATGCCTCTAATCCTGGCACTTGAAATCCCCCCCCCTCAAAAAAAAAAAAAACTAATAAGCTTTAAATTTTTCAACAATCGCAAAGTTAAATGGGAAAAATCTTTTACCATTCTCTTCTAAAGTTTTTTCCTCAGTGGTCTAAAGATGGTATGATCCCTGTGAGAGGTAGCCACTGGAGCTTTACCTCTTAGAGCTGTAATGAGGTTCAGGCTGTGAACACCAGTGTCAGGGTAACTAAGTGTCTAAAGGCAATGCTGACCTTCCCTGACAGTAGACAGTCCCGACTACCTCATTTTGTTGCGGCACTTTTATAGTTACTGAGATGCTCATCTTACTACCAGTGTAACATTTCCTAAGTATCCATCGTTGATGAAAGAAAATTTATAGTGTGATAGACTCTGATCATAATTACAACTCTATATCAGAATTTGATAAAACCTTCTGTTTCTGTGAAACAATTATTTTTAACATTTTTCTTTTAAAAGTAACTTTTTATCAGTACAGAACTATCTAAGGGATGACTAGCTTATGAATATTCTGTTAAAAGGTAGTTTTATAAAGAAAAGTGAAATATCATGTCTTTTATAGTGGTAAAACTAGTATTTATATGAAAGTCAAAATCAGTAGCTTTTAATATACTTCAGACTGATTGCTTATGATATATTTTCTCTGGCTTTTTTATTCTTTTCAATTTTAAGATATTAACAACTGTTAATATTTTCAAAATACTGCCATATGTGTAGCTTTGAAATGTGTATTAAATGAGGACAAGAGAGAGACTTGTATACTCTGAAATGCTTTGTGTCTTTCCTTTGGTACTTACTACAATAAAAAGAAAGTTGGAAAGTAGAGATATATAAAGACTTGGGAAGAGAATTATTTAATGTGAAGGAAAGAGAAGAGTGACAAAAAAAATTAGGCATTGGAATTTAGAGAAATTATCCACATTCACTGTGTTCTTGTGACGAACATCAATATTTAAAAACTAGCCCATACAAAGTTTAAAATATATCTACTGAGTTAAATAGCTAAAATACAACTAATTTATGCTAAATTAGCATAAATAAATTTTAAGAAGTATTCAAGGAAGGCTAAATTAAATGAAAATGTTAAAACTCTTAAGTTGAATTTTGGAACATTCAAATAGTATTAATTCCAGTTGAAAACGTGTCTGGTGCAGGGCTTGATGCCCACACTGGGGGGGCAGAGGCAGGCGGGTCCCTCAGAGTTGAATGTCATCCTGGTCCACATAGTGAGTTTCAGGCCAGCCAGGGCTATGTAGTGAGACCCTGTCTCAAAACAAAAAACAAAAGAAGGAGGAAGGAAAAGCAATTGAAAGAAAAGCAGTTGGTATGGTGGAAATGTGTAGAGTTTATTTGTGAGAGAGGATGGAGCTAAAAAGAAACAAGATAAAATATTAAAATTAAGAATTTAGGCATTACCTCAGGGAAAAAGCCTTGACAGCAAAAAGGAACCACTTTACTGCTAATAGTGCGTCTGGATCAGACGCCAACTACTCTGGGAGTCATCCAGCACAACCAGGAAATGAACTTGACTTTTCCATTTCTCTTGAGGCTTTTTAGGACAGGCCCTTCTGCTCTTGTTAAACCTATATTTTGAGTCGTACTATGATTACTGAAATATGCGGAATGGATTCTTTTTAAAAGTTTCCTTTGGTGTTTTTTTTTTCTATAAAAAGTTATATGTGATTTTTTTCTGATACATAACCATGTCAATGGCCTAAATAATTAATGGAGGGGATATGCTAATTTAAAGGGGATCTGGTAGGAACATTAAAGGAAGCTTTTAGTCAGCCTGTGGCTAGATTTATTGATTTGGTAAGCAAACCTGTATTCTTTGCTGACTTTCAGCTAATGGCTAACTCTGGTCAAAGAATGGCTTTTGCTTAAGGTTTTGACTTATTATAAATAAGATTAAGAATGTCTTAGTAATTAGGAATCCTTTAAAACATAGAACAAATGTGCAAATAGGACTCATCTTTTTATAATAAAAACACATAAGCCTTTATCACTTATTCATGAGCTAAAGCCATTAAGATAAATCGAATTATCAACTTCCAATCTCTGAAGTTTGGATCATTTTATAGATTCATGTAATAGAGTACTTCTTTCCTGTGAAACTAATGCTTTGAGATCTCTCTCCCTCTTTTCATTAAAAGAATGTCATTTTTAACTATAATCACAATCCAGTAGGCAACTATATTTTTATTTTGGCAGAGCAAATTTCACATAGTCCATACTTAATTATAAGACAATCCCAGAGACACAACAATGTTTAAAATAGGCTAGTTAGCCAGGTGTGGTGGCATAGGCCTTTAGTCCCTTCACTTGGGTGGCAGAAGCAGGCAGATCTCTGTCAGTTCCAGGCTAGGGTTACATCCTGTCTTGAGAAAAAAAGGAGGAGGAGGAGGAGGAACAGGAGGGGAAGACGACAACAAGTAAAGTAATGGCTATCCAGTGGAAAAGACAAAGTTTGTTTTAGGACAAAACTAACTTCAAGATAGTGTGTCTATTTTGTAATTTTGAATGGATTGCTCAATCCTAAATCCTCCTTTGTCTTTATTTCCTGTGAAATATAGGTAATGGTACTGTCCCTTGGTCTCCTAATGTTCATTCAGTAAAAGGTGTCCCTTGGATCATACTTGAAAGTAATTGCTGAGTAGCTTTTCAGTACTAGTTGAGAATGACACATGTTTAAAATAGCACCTTTGTGGGGCATACAAAATCATATTCTCTAGTCTGTAATAAGCTCTCTTGACTTGCTCTGACAATGGAGACAATAGAACAATTTGGGCTTATGGTTTAAACCCCACAATTAGATCATTGGAGTTTCCTCCTGCTTTTCATAAGATCTGTGTAAACTAATGTTTGTCTTATTTGGAAAGCTGATCACATTTGCAGGACATACAGATCGTTTTTGCCATGGTTATAAATCAAATCTAAGCTTTCAGACTTAGGAATCCTGGTGTAAAACTCAAGAAAGTTATGCTGGTTTTGCTAGAATTGAATACATTTGTATGCGCCACGTATGAACTATACACTTGAATATCAGAGTTTAATGATTTCACAAAGCTATGTTGTCAATCATGGTGTGTAACCCATACTGTTTCTTTTCACTTTCTAATCTTGACAAATATTTCTGTGGATTTAAATTTTTTGATCTGAATAAATTTTCGCTTAATAAAATCTTAATATGTGAAATCCAAAAGCATTGTCGTTTTTAAAGATTTGTGTACATGTGTTAAATTCAGGAGCATAGCATGATACATTTGTGAAAGTCAAAGGAGGGCTGATTCTCTTGTGGCTTGACTTTGAGGCTTAGCCTCTCAGCCTCCAACTGTTGGCATGCTGAAGTTACAACTGCTGGCCACAGTGCCTAGGTTTTCACATGGATTTAAGTGATCAAACTCAGGCGGGCAGAATTTTTTGGCAAGGATCTTTACCTACTCATCCAAAACCTTGGCCCCAGCCTTGTGGTTTTGTTTTTCAGTTCTTAGTATTGGGATCTATGGGGTGGGGGGAGCATGGGAGGACTATCAGGTGTAAGGTCAAAGGACAATTTGTGGAGTTACTTTATCTTTTACCTTCGTTCCAAGGGTCAAACTCCAATTGTCAAACTTGTACAGCAAGCACTTTAACCTGCTGAGCCAGGTTTTAAGCCAGTGGTTTTTTTGTTTTTTGTTTTTTTTTTCTCTCCTCACCTCTGAATGAAAGTGAGGAATATGACCGAGGAGAGAGATTTTATTGTAGATATGAGGGAGAAGAGCCAGCAGCATCTGGAAGGGTCCAGACTGAATAGGGCCATGAGGTGTGGGTGAGAAGGAAGAGTGTGGGGGAGATAAAGAGAACAGACAAGAGCAGACCCGATTAGGAGAGTGCTCAGTGAAAATAAAGTCATAGAGGTCAAAGGTTAGATACGTTTGCTGTAGCAGGTGGGGTGAGGTGCTGGGTGAGACCACAGGTACTTGTCCCAAGTTTCTTTGGGACCTGACATCGAAATATCAAAAGTCTGGAAAGGAAAAAAAAACCGAAAATTTTATGTATATATATACTTAGATTTTGCTTTTTGGTATGCCAGTTTTGAGTCTCCTAGAAACAAGCCAGTCGCAAAAACCAACAACTCTCATCTTAAAGCAGTGGTTTCTCAACCTTCCTAATGCTATGACCCTTTAATACTGTCCCTCATGTTGTGGTGACCTCCAACCCTAAAATTAGTTCATGGCTACTTCATAACTCTATTTTTGCTACTGTTATGAATAATAATGTAATGTAAATATCTGATATTTTACCCCTATGAAAGAGTCGACTCCCAAAGGCTTCATGAACCACAGGTTAAGAACCACTATTCTCGATTTAAAACTTAAAGGGAATAAGAGATAGCTTATTCTGGCGCCGTTTTAAATGACGATGGCCCCAGAACACAAATTTAGGTTACCTCAAATTCTATGTCCCACATGGAACCAGTATCATGAAGTTTTTAGTTTTACAGAACAGAGAATACCATAAATCAAGGCAAAGTTTAAAACAACTAGTGGATACTTTGGAGGATAGGTACATCAAGATAGCTTTTCTATAGATCTAAGACATTATCTGATGACATGTTTAGCTTTTGGATTGGCAGAAGCTAGTTGCCTGTTAACAGATTCTAAAAGGTGCTTAATCTTATTGCCACAAAAATGTTAATTTTGACAGAGATGGCTGTTCTGGAGGGCTAGCACTAGCCCAAGAGAAGGTAATTAGACTCTGGACCTGCAACATTCCAATCTTTCCACAGTACTGAAATTCTAACTAGCCACTCAGTCTCTGCAGACAGATTGCTTTTACAAGTTTTCATTCGCAAGACCTTTAGAAAGACTTCCCTTTTCCCTCAACTCTTTAACCACAATTTTAGCTGGACTACTGCCAGTCAGCTTGGGACCTGTCTGCAAAAACCTCTGAACATAAGGAATCCAAAATCCGCTTCGAGCCTTTGGGTCGCGGTGAGCATCACCGGCCAGGGGCTTTTCCTTTGGGTCTTTTGAACTCAGGAAGCAGGGAAACATTCCCGCGCTCTCCGGAGGAAACAGCCCAGGCTCCAGGAGCCACGCGGGCGGCCCTGCCTGCAGTCTCGTGGCCAGCCAGCTGGGGGCGCAGTGCAGCTGGGCGGGGCGGGCGGAAATAACGGGCGGCCGGGCCGGCCTCCGTGCTTCCTTTTCCGGTGCCAGGAGGAGCCGTGTCGCTGCTGCCTCGGTCCATCAGGCCTCCCGCAGTTCTCCATTGCCCGTTTCTGTGGACTCTCCGCCGCCACTGTGCCGCGCCTAGGACTCGGATCCTGCCGGGTGAGTCTGCTCGGGTGGCTGCGGCGGGGCGCGAGGCTGGCGGGAGACGATACGAAGACGCGGGGTCCCCGGGGGCCTGGCGGTTCTAGAGCTTTCGATGGGGAGGGTCCACCGGGAACCAGGCGACCGAGGGATCTAATGTCGCGCCCTTCGGGTTCCAGGGTGCCCACGTCATGCCAGATCTGGACTGGGGTAGGGCGGGAGCGAGCGACCCTCCCCCACATCCCGCCGGCGTGACCGGCTGGGGGCTGGTTCGCTCCGGTTTATCCTGGATTCCCTTTGTTCCCTTAACCCTAAAGGGCAGCCCCATGCCCCTCCACCGGTATCCCAGTCACTAATTTCTAATAAAAATGGCAGTGGAGGAGACCCGAATCCTTACAGGAAGGTCTGGCCCCTGATAATTCTGTGTGACAAGGTTCTTGCTGTCCGTATTACTCATTCGTTAAATGACTACCGGGGACAGAAGGTGCCATGGGATGAGTGACGTTCTCCTTTTGAAGGATTTGGGCTCAGCTATAGCACTTGAACCATTTTTTCTCCTTGCCTTGAAAACCGAAAGTAATGTTTTCACTAATCCTAAAGTTGAAGTATCAAAACCAGACCCCACCGTAGATATGTTACAGCCTACTACAGAAATACACACGTGTTGCCCCCCTCCCCCATGTGTTAAAGGCCTGTTTTGAAGCCAGACCCTCATTACCGGAGTCGCCTTCAAACGTCTTTGTTAGTGGTGCTCCTTGAGTGGGGAGCAGAGCAGTTTTCTTATTCGTGGAGTATAGGAGCCACTCTTTAAGACAATTTGCTTCAAAAAAATTTTTAATGCAGTTGCCGAAGTTGGAATGTTCTTTTTGATTACAGAAGGAATCAGTGTCATCTTCATTCTCTTAACTGAGGTTGAACGTTGGGGCCAGTAAACTTAGGAATTCAGCAATCTTCAGATTCTGTGACTGTTACAGAAGAGGAGCCCTACACTTGGGGACTGTTAATTAGTTATTAATATTTGTACAGGGCGGCCCTGTAGTTAAGTGATTAAACGCTAGCCTGACTTCCTACAAGGTCTTAAATTCAATTCCCAAAACTTCAGGGAAGGAAAAAAAATGCATCAGTTGTAAATATTCAGACTATAGCTGGGGATGAGTGGGAAATGAAATGGATAAATAATGTCTGGTCAGCTTTTGCCACCAAATAAGTTTGTGCAGTACTTAGGAGATTGCTTTTTTTTTTTTTATTATTGCTTTCTGCTTTGAAAATAGACAAAGGTTTGTGGCCATATTGTATCAGCTGTAAAAGCTAACATTTGTTGTGTTTTTGCTCAGTGTCAGGCAGCGACTTAAGAGATTTATTTTCAGATTTATATAAGCCTCAGCAAATCTCTGGAAAATACCCATTTACTCTCATGTATGAGACTCAGAGAACTGGATCTGACCGTAGGCCAGACAGGCAATCTACTCTGGTGGCTTTTTTGTTCTTTGTGTATAAGTGAGGAAGAGAATATGGGGCTGGAGAATGGAGAGAGATGGCTCAGGTTCAAAGCAGCAGTGCTCTTGCTGAGGACTGGAATCCTGTCCCAGAGTTCACATGAGGCAGCTCACAGCCACCTGTAACTGCAGGGAACTGTGAACAAACCCGTGTATGTGTTTTTAAAAGTTTAAGAATGGCAAGAGGAGAGAATTGTGTATTTGTTGCTTATCTGCTATTTTCCAGTTTTAGTCATTGGTCAGATGAAGTCCTGTTTAGTTCCCATGTAGCATTACAGCCCATTCTAACTTCTTGAAGAATCTGAAATTGACTCAGTCAAGTAAACTATAAAGCTGAATTATTAGCCCTCTTGTCCAAAACCCTCTGCTAAAGCTTCTTACTGCTTTCTGGTATTCCAGTCACCCTGAGCTGCTGCTGCCTTCCCATAGACTGGACTCCCTCTGGTTTTATACAAACTGCTCTTACCATGGAGCCTGTCTTTAACCTCTTACTTTTATTCCAGACTGCAGAGATACCAGTTCTCAAGAATGTCTATGCCATGGCACTAATTACTCTAAAGCTTGGTTTTAATAATAGGAATAGATTATAAAAACTCCCACTGTGAGCTTGAAATGTTCAAAACATTCCAAGCTCTTTTAGTTGCCAAGTTATCAAATGGAGTATAATCTGTTAAATTCCACAGTACTAATAGCTAACAATTCTAATTCAGAATCTACTTTCAATATAATATATACTATAGTAATACCCAAAATTAACCTGTAAGCCCCACCCATCCAAGGAGCAGGTGACTTCCTGGAATACTAAGGGTTGTAGTTCTTGGAAAATAATAAAGCCTTGTGGGAAAGTATGGTGGCCAATGAGTTTTGTCTGTAAAAGCCCCTACAACACGTGTCTTTGGGCCATACAGCTGGAAGTTCCAGGGAGTGTTCCTGACCAAAGTCTATCTCTTGGTCAGTATTTAATATCGAATAAAACTTCCTTCAAATTTGGCTCAAAATGGTGGACTGGTTTTTCTCTGGTGAATTTTGGAATTAATATTATCACATCCACCTATATAAAAAGCACAAAAAATCCTAATTTTCCTTGATTTCTCTAAATTTATATATCTGTGTGGTATGTATGGTGTTGTGTATATGATATATGTATGTCTTTAGATTCTTGAGCTTCAGCTGATGGTGAGGTATCAAGGAGTTGCAGCTTTTACAAGATTGTTAAGAAAGGTTTGATGTGCTGGGCAGTGGTGGCGCACGCCTTTAATCCCAGCACTTGGGAGGCAGAGGCAGGTGGATTTCTGAGTTTGAGGCCAGCCTGGTCTTCTACAGAATGAGTTCCAGGACAGCCAGGACTAAAACTAAAAAAAAAAAAAAGGTTTGATGTTCATGTTTAAGTATAGAGTCTTATACTATTTGGTCTCCTGTCAAAGTTTGATGGCCTTCCCCTCTAAAGTATTACTTGCCAATTGTCATTAATAACTCAATGGATTTTTAGCTTTTTTAAACTTTAATGAGGATAATTTCCTTAAAGACCATGAAATCTACTGACATGCTGTGTTTTTCTCTTCTAGTACTGGCAAATGAAATGTACACGTTTTCTATTTTTACTCTAAAGAAATGTTTTTCACTCTGAAAACAATGAAACCCTATCTAAAAAGGAAAGGAAGCAAGAGAAGCAGAGAATGTAAATATTAGTATACCAGTATATGCTTTACCTTCTTCTTGAATACGATCTCATGTTTTAAATAGTAGTGGAAAGTTTCTTGAACTAAAAGCTTGTAATTGTCCAAAAAAAGTGTGTGTGTGTGTGTGTGTGTGTGTGTGTACGAGCGCCTAAGTTGTATAACATTCAGGGTAGCCTCAAGTTCTCAGTCCTGCCTCAGTACCAAGGCCTCCAGAAGGTTATAGATGTATTCCATCTCACCCAACATTAAACATGCTCTTGACCAGAGTTGCATCCACCTCGACATAGTGCAGTTGGGTGTTTTATACGGCTTTTGAGAACGTCTAGGTATTGTAACGTTCTACAACCTAGCTAAACCCTCATCATGATGCTAGCTAACATCAGTATTGGTTACGCTGGAGAGGGTGGGGCCAGGAAGCATGGAGCCTATTAATAAATGAGCTGGACTGGAGTCTTACGTAATAACCCACTTTATTCAGAGCATCAGACAGTTTATAAATTGTTCTTGAGGATTAAGAGGAGTCAGGTGAGTAAAGTGTACAATCATGAGGACAAGTCTGTACCCAGCAAAAATGTTTTTCCATAGAGACAAGTGACAGTAGCCAGCTGTAATGAATAATCTAAAGTAAACTCACTCCTACCTGATATATCTGGGAGGAGCACAAAAATATATTCCAAGAACAATTCTGTGTTTTTGAAGAAACAGCATACGACTTGGTTTCTTAGGATTTTCTCATAAGAACTCAGAAATCTCAAATGACTCCATTTTTACACCATGGTCTGACATCCTTCCCTTTTTTGTGTTTGTTTTTTTTTTTTTTTTTAAACACAAAATGCCCAGAGTGGTTTTGTTTTTGAGTTGTTGTAGATAAATCTAATTATAATTTTATGCATGGATATCCTATAAGTCAACATGATAAATACAGTAACTTTTTTTTTTTTTTTTTTTGGTTTTTCGAGACCAGGCTGGCCTCGAACTCAGAAATCCACCTGCCTCTGCCTCCAAGTGCTGGGATTAAAGGCGTGCGCCACCACCGTCCAGCATGGACAATTTTTTAAATCACAGTCTCAGTTTGTATGAGAAAATCCCATAGCTTACCAGCTGGTTAATGATTTTATCTCCTATAGTAATAGTTAAATGAAATTTGACAATCCATAGAGTTCTGTAATGCTCTTAAAAACTGATAGTTAAGGATAATATAATACAGCAAGTCTCAAACCAATATAATTGTTGACATTAGTCCACCCCTGATTGACTAATTGAGCTAGAAGGGTAAGGTAAGCTGTTAGCATTTTATGGCTTTTGTGGTATAAATGAATTCATTCCAAAGGTTTATCCTCTTGTGCTGTATAACACCTGTAGGAAACCCTTTAGTAAGGAGAATGAGTAAGTCTGAAGGCAGTGAAGAATCCACAGGATTTTTTCTAAATGCTTTTTTGAGTCAGGATTCAAATAGCTAAAGTTCTTTTGTTGTCTTTAGAGATAATACGTGAGGACTGTCCAGTACCATCTCTCCCTTTTTAAGTAGACGGGTTAGTGCATATAAACATTTTTATTTTGTTGAAATTGCGTTAGAAATACCAAGCATAGCTCATGAGGCTGGGTAGGAATTGGTAAATGAATTCTGTCTCTGCCGTGTCCTAGCTTGCCTAGGTTGTAAACTTAGCATTTCCAAAGATCCTCCCAAGTCCACATAAGATTAGATTGATCATCAAAGTCCTCACCCCCTGCTCAGGGTCGTGCTCAGGGTCGTATTCAGGCAGTGGAGAGTAGGTATGTAACTAAAGGAGACTCCAGTAGGGAGTCTGAAGGAGTCATCACCGGCAGAGCTATCGCTGATGCTGGTTTTACTTTAGATTGTGCCTGAACAGGAAAAGTGTCTTTTTTTTTTTTTTTTTTTTTTTTGCCTCTTTTACCAATTTTAAGATTTGATCATTTAGTTTATTTTCATTCAAGGAACTAGCCATCTCTTCCTTGTGACTAATATCCTATTTATCTTCCTTAAACAGTTGGATAACAGTCTGAATTAATGCCCAAGTGACCCAAAATTGAACAAGTCCCTTTTCTGGATGCCACTTGTCACTACTCAAGAGGCAGTAGGATTGGGCTGGAGAGATGGCTCAGTGGTTAAGAGCACTGACTGCTCTTCCAGAGGTCCTGAGTTCAATTCCCAGCACCCACATGGTGGCTCGTAACCATCTGTAATGGGGTCTTGATGCTCATATACTTTAAATGAATGAATGAATGAATGAATGAATGAATGAATGAATGAATGAGGCAGTAGGTCCTAAAAGATGGAGCTGATAAACGAGGTAGACCACAGCCTGGGGAATCCTATGGAAGAGGGGAAGGAAGAGTTGTAGGAGCTAGAGGGTCAAGGACACCAAAAGGACATGGCCCATAGAATCAGCTAACCAGGGCTCATAGGGGCTCACAGACTGAACAGACAGTCAGAGCCTGTGTGGGTCTGAACTAGGTCCTCTATGTGTATGTTCTTGTTGTGTGGGAGCAGGGGCTGACTCTGACACTTTGGCCTGCTTTGGGGACTCTTTTCCTCCTATTGGATTGCTTGTTCCAGCCTTGATATGAGAGTATGTGCCTAATCTTACTGTAACTCGTTATACCATGTCAATCCCTGGGAGACCTGCTCTTTTCTGAAAGGAAAGAGAGGAGTGGACGTCGAGAGGCGAGAGGGAGAGGAGGGAAGGGAAACTGGTCGGGATGTAATATATGAGAAAAAGAAATGAATGTGGAGAGATAAGCTAAACCTCATGCAGTAGTCCACCTATCTCAGCACCTCAGACAATTTATGCCCGAGAGTTAAGGAATTCATATGAGTAAAGTGTCCAATCACAAGGGCAAGCTTCTTGGAGCGTACAACACAATATAAACAAAAACTTGTAACGTGCGTTTTTGTTTTGTTTTTGTCTCCAAATCTCAAACTAAGAACAAGAGTCGTGCTTAAACATCAGAAACATTTTCAGGAGTGTTAATAACAAGATGCCTGTACTATCATCACTATTAAATCCTTTGTTCCTTGAGTCCTAGCTAATGCAAAAGAGAAAGGATCTGTTGGTATTGGGAAAATACAATAAAACTGTTGCCTGGAAACTATAGAATCAGCTGGGAAAACTTTTTCAGAGAAGAAAGTAATCGAGTAATGTCATAGCTTGCAAAAGTTATATCCTGCTCAGATATGAGTAATTAGTTAGAGAAATGGCTCAAGGGGCCATTTCACCCACATAAAAAGAAGCTAGAAACCTCTTTGAAAAGAAAAGTACGCCGGGAGGTGGTGGCGCACGCCTTTAATCCCAGCACTTGGGAGGCAGAGGCGGGTGGATTTCTGAGTTCGAAGCCAGCCTGGTCTACAGAGTGAGTTCCAGGACAGCCAGGACTATACAGAGAAACCCTGTCTCGAAAAACCAAAAAGAAAAGAAAAGAAAGGTACACCAAGGTGGGTGTGGTAGCCCATGCAGGTCCCAGGTACACTGCAGAGTACTCCTTGAGCCCCAAATTCAGTCCCAATCTGAGAACAATGACACCTGCCATCTAAAAAGGAAAGCACATGTCAGTATATGCCTGTACCTTGTTCTGGATGAGATCTGATGTTTTAAACACATCTGCTATTTCCCAAACTCATCAATAAACGGGCATTTTCCACCGGAACACTGGGTGTTTTGTTGTTATCAAAAAAAAAAAAACTGGAAAAAGTAACCATGAAATTTAAGAATATCTGAAGAAACTACAAGGTAGCTAGCAGAACTGATTAAAATACGAAGGAATCCTAGTTAAATGTGAGTACTTCCTATAGATGGCCAGGGAGAGAGTCCTCCATACCTGTGAGGATAGTTGTATGTACTGCATGGTCAGCTGGGGTCAGGCTGTACCTGTGTTTAAATTAAACTTCTTGCTTGTTTTTTGCACCTGTAAGCAGGGGTGGTAATAACATTTGCATCATAGAGAATATCCCTGTTTGCAGTAAACACTCATTAAATATTATATTGTCAGTGGTAGCAAGAGTTTTAAATGTAACATGTTCCACTGAGAAGGAATAAGTTATACTACTTAGAAGAATTGAGAGCCGGGCGGTGGTGGCGCACGCCTTTAAGCCCAGCACTTGGGAGGCAGAGGCAGGAAGATTTCTGAGTTTGAGGCCAGCCTGGTCTACAGAGTGAGTTCCAGGACGGCCAGGGCTACACAGAGAAACCCTCTCGAAAAACCAAAAAAAAAAGAAAGAAAGAAAGAAAGAAGAAGAATTGAGAAATGGTAAACATGTTAAACCACAAGCATATTCTTGAAGTAGTTATCTTTGTTTTTTTTTTAATTAACTTAATTATTTTATGTATATGAGTCCACTGTAGCTGTCTTCAGACACACCAGAAGAGGGCATCGGATCCTATTGCAGATGGTTGTGAGCCACCATGTGGTTGCTGGGAATTCAATCAGGACTTCTGGAAGAGCAGTCAGTGCTCTTAACCACTTAGCCATCTCTTCAGCCCCAGTTATCTTTGTTAAGCACAAAATTGAGATTACAAGTAGAAACAGATTAATAAGCTATAAAAGATTAAAGTTTTTAATACCAAAAGAAATACCACTTAAAGAGTTAAAAGGACCTTTGCAGAAAATTCTTGTCTCATAAAACAGCTAGTGTTCTTTCCATGTGACAAAATGGTGTAGATGGAGTGATATTTTATTACCAATTATTAAATGATCAAGGAGTGGGGGAAGAGGCCTGCTGTCTTATCCTGGTCTTACAAAAGTCAGTGACCAATAAAAGCAGACTAAAAAAAATGGCAGCAGGGATCAGGTGACCGAAAAGGAATGGAAATCTTCTAGGATGGCAGAAGTGTGTCTTGTTAGAGTGGCCAGAACTTAAGGTGAACACTTCATCTTTGTACCTTATCCAACTTAAAAATTGGTAAGGGATGGGGCACCACATAAACCAGACATCATACAGGAGGATCAGAAATTCAAGGACATCCTCTGCTACATATCAAGTTCAAAGATAGTCTGGTATACACAAGATCCTGTCTCAGAAAAATAAAAAAGATTGGTTAAGGCACTTGCCTAGCACAAACAAGGTTCTAGATTCCATCTCTGGTACTATGGTTGGTCAGTAAAGCAAGAGCTTCATTATCCAGTGATGGCTGAATACTCACAGGAAGGAAATATAATTGGGGCCTGAGTTTATCAAGATTTAGTAATATCCAGAGGTAAAGGAGAGTTTGACGGTCCCAGCATAAGTTTGCATAGGTTGTGCCAGGTGGGCTTTTAGGTAAGTCTGCGTGTTTGGCTCTAGTCCACTTCTGGTGCTTTTTCCTAATTATACATAATTAGATTTGAGTAGAAATAAGTGTATATTTGCTGTGCCAGTGTTTAAAAGAACCTATGCTGCCACAAAAGTCAGAGTAACAAGTACCATTATACAGATTGAGCAGATTATAGTTAGGAGAATACACACACATACACATACACACACATAACTAACACATGTGTAACAATTTTAAAAAGAGGACATGAATTTGAAAAAACAAGCAGTGGGCTGGAGAGATGGCTCAGCGGTTAAGAGCACCGACTGCACTTCCAGAGGTCCTGAGTTCAAATCCCAGCAACCACATGGTGGCTCACAACCAGCTGTAATGAGATCTGATGCCCTCTTCTGGTGTGTCTGAAGACAGCAACAGTGTATTCATAAATAATAAATAAATAAATCTTTAAAAACAAAAAAAGAAAAAACAAGCAGGGTTATATGGGAGCATTTGGAAGAAAGAGGAGGAAAAGGGAAATTATCTAGTTATAATCCCAAAAATTAAATTTTTTTCAAAGCTGAGCAACCCACTAAACAGCATTTGTTCATGGCCTTTGCTTCAGTTTATAGCGCTGGGTTCCTGCCTAATGTCCCTCAGTAATAAACTATGACCTGGAAGTTGTAAAATAAGTACACCCTACCCTGGTACCCCTCCCCAACAAAAAGAAGGAAGGAAGGAGAGAGAAATCAAAATCAGTACTGTGGGTCTGGCTGAGCTGTTGTATATTTGGCCATGTGAAGGAGTTTATACCAAGGATCTTTGTCCTGCAGGATGGCTTGAACCCAGGAGTTTGAGATTATCCTGATCAGTAAGAACCCTCTGGTAGAAAATATACAATCATGAGAAGAGAAGAATGAAATTGGTATGGTTATCTTAATTTTAGTAGAAATTTTTTCCTGTATAAAAGAAAACATAATTCTAGCAGTTAGGTGGCAGAGGCAGGGGGAATCTTTGTGAGTTCAAGGCCAGTCTGGTCTAAGAGAGTTTCAGGACAGCTAGGGCTATACAGAGAAACCCCATCTTAATCAATAGAAAAAAGATATGAGAAATATTCCATGTAAGAAAAAAAAAATTCTTCTAAAATGTATAAGAAAATATAAACACTAATTTTGCCTGTTTTTTTCTTTTTTAGGAAAATGTCGGATGAATTTTCGGTAAGTTGGACCAGCTAAGTTTTCATTTTCATGGGGTTTTGTTGGTTGGTTGGTTGGTTGGTTGGTTGGTTGGTTGGTTGTTTTTGGAAAACATAGTCCTGGCAAGCACTATGGTGCATGCTTGTGATACCGGCCTCTAGAGAGGCTGGGGTGGGAAGAGTGTGAGTTCCAACAAGCAGGCCTGAGCTCTGCAGTGACACCTCTCTCCTGATAAATAGAGAAAACACTTTTGTGAAAACAGGTTTTAACTGTAAAATATCTAAGTCTTTTTCTTAAAAAGATACATGCTTGGACTGTTTAGGCATGACTTTGGGTTGTTTTTAGTATGTGTGTTAGTGTATGCCATGTGTGTGCAGGTGACCTTGGAGGAGGTATTGGATCCCATGGAGCTGGAATTACAAGTGGCCGTCCTGGAGCCATTCCTCTAGCCCCTAGACATGGGCCTTGATAAGTGACTTGTGAGTGTGCACATGTGCGCACACACTCCGATCACTGATTGTGAAGTATCTAGGCATGGTTATAAAGTCTTTAATGCAATGTTTTGTTATTTTTCTCTTCGGTCTGGCAGTAATATAATTCCAACATTTATTGAGAGTTATTGGCCAGACATAGTGGTATGGTACACACCTATAATCTTAGCACTTGAGAGGTAGAGGCAGCAGAATTACAAATTCAAGCCTGGGTCTAGAGAGATATCTCAGGGGTTAAGAGTACTTAGTGCTCTTGCAGGGAATCTGAGTTTGGGTCCCACAATACATCAGGAGGCTCATAACCACCTGTAACTCCAGTTCCAAGAGACCTAACACCCTTTGGCCTCTGCCAGCACCAGGCATACATGTGATGTGTCTGAACTCATGAAGGCACAGTGTTCTAGTTTGCTTTCTGTTGCTGTGATGAAGAGTATGACCAAAAGCAGCTTAGGAAGGGAAGGGCTGGTTTCATCCTCCAGCTTGAAGTCCATCATAAAGCGAAGCCAAGGCAGGAACTGAAGGCAAGGCCTGGAGGCAGGGACTAGAACGTAAACCTTGGAGGAACACTGGCTTGCTTCTTGGAGTCATATTTAGCTTCCTTTGTTACATCTACCAGGACTACCTTTCTAGGCATCGTACCTCCCACTGAGGACAGTAATCAAGAAAATACCCAGGGTTTGCCTGCAGGCCAGACTAGTAGAAGCATTTTCTTAATTGAAGTTCATGCTTCCTAGATGAATCCAGCTTATGTCAAGTTGGCAAAACAAACCAACCACCGTGCACACGTACATAGATAAAAAAAAAAAGCTGTTTTTAAAGTTCAGGGTTAGTCTGGGCTACATGAAACATTGTCTCAAAAAAAATGTATTTTAAACTATTTATATCAATTGTCTCATGTAATGATGAACTTAACCCTAAAACTGCTTTTGACACTAAAAAGTCAAGACTTGTCTGTAGAGATCCTATGCTATTTACTACACTGCACTCTCTTCATGGTTCAGAAATGAAGAGTCTTAGAACTTGCTGTACTTACAACAGTTGAGCTTTGGAGAATTTGCACTGTAGAGTTAATGTCGAAGGTAACATCTCAAGTTCTTTAAGAAGAGGTTTTCGGATGAGTAGAGGCTTGTAATCCCTGGGTATAGTGCATGATTTGTGCAGGATTGCCATCGTGTTTGCTTTGACTTGCTCCTGGGTACAAGAGGTCAGATGTACCTATTTTGTATTACAGTTGGCAGATGCGCTACCTGAACAGTCCTCTGCCAAACCGCCTGCTGTGACCAATACAAAAGCTGGCCATTCTTCTCAAGGGTGGCCAGGCTCCAGCCCGTGGAGTAATCCAAGTGCTCCACCTGCAATGCCATCTGGACTCCCACCGAGTAGTGCAGCGCCCTCTACTGTGCCTTTTGGACCAGTACCAACAGGAATGTATCCGTCAATGCCTCCAACTGGACCACCCCCGGGACCTCCTGGACCCTTTCCTCCTTCTGGACCATCATGTCCCCCACCTGGTGTTCCTTATCCAGCCCCTGCTGTGCCAGGCCATGGCCCCACGGGGCCATATGCTACACCAAATATGCCTATGCCAGAGCTACCTAGGCCATATGGTGCACCCACAGATCCAGCTGCAGCTGGTACTTTAGGTCCATGGGGATCCATCTCTTCTGGACCTTGGGCACCAGGAATTCCAGGGCAGCATCCTAATATGCCGCCGTATCGATCTCCAGGGCCATATCCCACTGTTCCTCCTCCAGTGTCTGGAGCACCACCTGTTCCGTGGGGCACTGTACCACCAGGAGCCTGGGGACCACCAGCACCATATCCTGGCCCTGCAGGAACATACCCCACACCAGGACCCCATCCTACTCTGAATAATCCTTACCAAGTGCCTTCAGGACCTGCTGGTGCTCCACCAATGCCTGGTGGCCCCCACGTAAGTGTTAAACTTGTTATTGCCTGTGTAGTCAGAGTCACATTGGCACAACTGAAGGTCATTGTGAAATTAGAGACCTTCTAATACAACACTTAAAGTGATTGTGAATCTATAAACTGGGTAAATGTGAGAACTTCAGGTTGAGGTGTAGCATTTCAAAGGGCAAAAGAATACTTGTACTGAAAATTGAAAGGGAAGAGCCCAAAGACATTGCACTGTGATAAACAGTGTGCTCCTCAGCGTCCTTAGGTGACTAAAAGACAAGTATCATGGGCTGTTTTACAAATCCTGGTGGCCTTTTACTGCTTCATGCTGAGTGCAGCTTAAGAAAAAGCTTGTCTGGGTTGTTAGAGAGGACCTGGGCGCACATTGCCCATCTCACACAGCTTTCCCTGGGGTTTTTGAGCCTGCCACTGTTGTAAAGCAGTCTGTTAACTCCCATCCCACCAGGTAGCTAAGCACATCTCCACATTGATTAATTAATTACCTATCTGAGCAGTGAAGACATTCTTACTGGAGTGTCCTCCAAAATTTTATTAGTACGATTTCTTGATATATACATGTTCTTTCCTCAAAAAAAATTTTTTTTTGCAGTGTGCCACAGTAAATAACATGACTTGTTGTTTGCATTTATTAACAGTCAAGTTCATTTTAAGCCACCACAAAGAGTCAATAACTACACATATCAATTATATATGGGCGGTATGGAGGTCCTTGTGCTGACAGATGAGCAATAGTGGAACCAGGCATGTTAAACACACAGGTCTGTCTCCTCTAAAGAGGAGATGTATAACCTGTTTTCCTCCCAGAAGACTGGGAGTAGATGTGGTTAATAACCTGGTGACCTTTGCGCTGTCTGTGTGGCCAAGACCACACTGGACCCTTCCCCAGACACTTACGGTGAACTTGTCAATCTGTAGAATTCATCTTTATGGAAGATGTCATGTGTACTTAACAGAGTTTCAACGTAGTTATGTCCTTAGCTTTATTGTGCACATTGGATTGAGTTATTTATTATTAGGAAATTTTTCACCAAATTGTGCTGTGCTTAAATGTGCCTAAAGTAAACTATTCAAGGTCGGACTCCTGAAGTTCGAACCAAGACTAACTTCTGAGTCATCCTGCTTCCTGTCTTCCTACCTCATGTATTATGTAATGCTGCTGCTAAACTGGGAGCTCTTAGGATCAGTGGCTTACTCCCTTAACAGTTACTTGTCCTTTCTTCCTCATCACCTACTGGAATTATAAGCCAACAAAATAATGGTATAGAAATCTATGCATGACATTTTTCATAATTATCTATATTTCCTTATTTATAAGAAATTAGACTCAATGATGAGAAAAACACAACTTACTGGTAAAAGCCTACAGAAATCATAGTACCGCTAAATAAAATAGACGTTCTATAATTGGCAGATAACATTAGCATGTTACTCATTATCCTAAATATCCTCTTTTAAGATTTTGAACAGTCTGAACTCACCGTAATCAGTCAGCTTGCATTGGATGTTTCTCAGCCATTGACTATTTTAACTGATTCTGGATGTTGTGCTCAAAATGATTCTCTTAGAAACTGAAGTCTCAAACCCAAGCCTGCTACTCTTACAATTACTTATCTCCCTTCAGATGTCTATAGGGAAACAACCTCAATACTTTTTTAAAATATATTCATGCTCATTCTAATTTGCCAGATCTATTAATATCCACTAATGCTCAAGCCAGTGTGCTGGCCACCTTCTCGTCCCTAATACTTTCTTTTCAGGTCATTCAAAGATCGAGTGAACTTCTTCATCAAAATAAAAATCTTTATAGGAACAATTTTGTACCTTGTGAGCAAGCTCGACAGAGCATGGGAAGCGCCATGTTCTTCTGTCACACATGGCTGTCTGCTAATGGAATCTAATCTTTGTCATATCTCATAATGTGTGCTTACTTTTAAAATATATTGATACTTTTTCTAACATAATTGTTGGTTCTGCTCACAGGGGCAAAACAACCTTAGATGCCATTATTCATTTATTATACACCTTTCTCTCTCTAGGATTCCCATTACAATTAAAAACTGATAACAGTCCTGCTTACACTAGCAAATACGTTAAAGAATTTTGCAATTTATGGAATATTAATTATTTGCAGGAATCCCTTACAATCTACAGGGTCAACACCATCAAATATTTAAATGGCAAATAGGGTATAAACAGCCTAATAGCCACCTAAATAGCCATGCTAACTTTTACATTTTTCGTTTTAAAGGATAATGTTTCTGCTGTGGCCCAAAGCATTTTGCCCTAAAGGACATACAGCCTAAAGTGTATGTTAAATGAAAGATCTAGGAAGTAATCAGTGGAAAGGGCTGATGTTCACCTAACATCAGGGCGAGGTTATGCTTGTGTCTTTCTAGAAAGTGAATGAAGTCCCAGGTGGCTCCCTTTCTGATGAATCTGACCAGGAGAGTTCCCCAGAGTCCACTGGACAGATGAAGCTTCTGAAGGTAGATAACAAACCAATCAGGAAAAGACGTTCCAAGAAGAAGAGTAAGCCAGTAACTTGGGGAGACATCAAGAATTTAACTTACCAAGCTGAGAACTTGGGGAAACAACAAGGATACGATACTAATGACCCAAAAATGATGCTGTTGTGTTTAATAACTATATTACATGTTAATTCTCAGCATGACCATTCAGATCCCAACTGACTTGTTGGGAGAGATAAAGGTATATCTGTACTAAATAGTGTAATGTTGTTCTGCCATGCTAAGGATTTTTTTTTTTTTAAATCCTTTGGGACCAGTAATTTGGACAAAGAATGGTATACAAATATGTAATTGCATATTTTGGTAGGACTAATCTAATTGATCAGTCCAACACAATAACAACAGGATTTAGCATAACTAAGCACTCTTTTAAAAGCTCTGATAATGGAAATTAGAGTTATGGGAACATTAAAGAAAGGAATTTTTGATATATTCCTTACTAAATTTGATATTATTGTACCTACAGTGGTTTAGGAAATAACCTCTGACTTCATGTGCCACATGGCAGTCAACAAGACCAGTCTTTGTATCAGAAGAGACACCGGTCTATTCTTTTTTTCTTAAGATTTACTTATTATGTATACAGTGTTTTGCTTGCATGTATGTCTAAAGGCCAGAAAAGAGCACCAGATCTCATGCCAGATGGTTGTTAGCCACCATGTGGTTGCTGGGAATTGAACTTGGGATGTCTGGAAGAGCAGCTCTTAACCTCTGAGCCATATCTCCAGCCCCTATTCCTGGACTCTTGCCAACAGTGTTCTGGTATGTGGTACTTTAATGTGTCAGGCTTTTCTCATACTATCAATGGTCAAATTAATGATTTGCATAAAGAGAGATTTTGCAGGTACCTTGAGTGGCCATCATAGTTAAGATGGCTTTCCTCTTTCTTTGGTCCTCTGTAAGCTCTTCTTACCATTCTGCTATGCTTGCCTGTGTTAGACTAGCCATGCAGACAGTGCGTTCAGCCTTGACCATAATTTTCTCCTTAAAAAGTAAAACAGCAGGGAGCCGTCAGAGCGTGAGGGGACCCAGGCATGTTAAACACACAGGGTTGTCTCCTCTAAGGAGGAAATGTATGACCTGTTCTCCTCCCAGAAAACTGGGAGTAGATATGGTTAATAACCTGATGACCTTTGTGCTGTCTGTGTGGCCAAGACCACACTGGACCCTCCCCCAGACACTTATGGTGAACTTGTCAATCTATAGAATTCGTCTTTATGGAAAAGGTCCTGTGTATTTTATGTAGCCCTGTCTTAAGCATCATAGTGCACATGGGACTGAGTTAGTTATTGCCAGGAAATTTTCCACCGAATTGTGCTGTACTTAAACATGCCTAAACTATTTAGAGTCAGACTCTGAAACCAGCTACTGAGTCATGTGGAACTGAGCTGCCTTGCCTCTTGCAGATTGCTGCTTGTCACCTCTGCATGGGGCAAGCAAGCCATATGTACTAGATGAGCCACTCACAGAAGAAAATAGAGGCATGTGATAGCAACAGATGAAGTAAACTTATCCTGTCGGCTCTACCTGGGAGGAGCAAGAAAGCATACTCCAAGAACAGTTCTATGTTTTTGGTTTCTTGGAGTTTTCTCATACGCACTCAGAAGTCTGACATGATTCCATTCTTGCACCATGTTCTAATATCTTCCCTGTTTTGATTTTTTAAACCCTAGATGTCCAGAGTAGCTTTGTTTTGAGATGTTGGTAATCTAATTATCATTTGATGCATGTGTATTCTATAAGTAAATAAATGATCAATACACTAACCTTAGAACAGTGAAAGCATTGCGTGTGATACTCTCCCACTAAGATCAGGGATCCAAACTATGTCCAGCACTGTCGATGTCTAGTGCGGTGTGGTCCCTCGATAGGGTCACAGTAATCTGGACATGGGATGCAGAGTAACTGTGAACCACTGCATACTTTATTGAATATTCCAGCATCTTTTATAGGCAAGCAGAATAAAGATTTCTTGAAGCTTTTAATTATCAGCAGCTTCTGTTTCTCAAGAAGTAGTTTATTTAGGTTCAAGGTGACCCAAACCTCCTTGCAGACTGAGAATTCATTCTGTCAGCAGTCCAACTCTTTTCAGTGTAGTAGTTGAATTAAAACAAAAGGTATTTCTCATGAGAAGATGACCATGAAGGCCACTTCCTCAGGCGTGCAGCTCATGTCAGGATTCTCCACTGAGAAAGTATGCTTTCCTGGTGTCCCGGTGTGCTGGGATTCACAGATACCCTTAAGTCACCTTGCAGCTAGAAGGCTGGGAGCAGTTGCCTAATTTTTATTTTTTTAATTGAGCTTCTAAAAGTTTTTGCCATAAGGTGCGTGTTTGCAATGTGTGTTGTGATGTGCGAAAGCAACACTTGTAAATAGCCAAGCCCACAATGCTGATTAAAACAATGCTAACAAGTAAAGCAGCACTGTCTCCTCCAGCCACATGAGTCACACTCTCAATTAAAGTTTTAGGATCCATGCCAGACTATTTATCAGCTAATATTTGAGCAATATCATCAAATGGGAATTGTTTTTTGAACGCATCCAGCACTTGGTATTGTAATTGTTCAATATCCTTTCTGATAGTAGAATTTACTTTCAAATATTGTTAGATCTTGTTGGCCAGTGGTGCCACCCACCTTTAATCCCAGCACTTGAGAGACAGGGGCAGGCAGATTTCTGAGTTCGAGAGTTCGAGGCTAGCCTGGTCTACAGAGTGAGTTCCAGGACAGCCTGGGCTACACAGAGAAACCCTGTCTTGAAAAACCTTAAAAAAAAGAAAAATTGTTGGATCTTTTTCCAATCTTGACAGCTGGTATTATATTGAAAATTAGTAACCCAAAATGGAGTAGAATTCTATTCACGTTTTAACTGCAACTGTTGTTGCACACTCAAATATTTTTGACCTAACCAAGATACAGATTGTTTGAATGCATCTACTTCTGTCAGCAGCCATGCGTCGATGTCCACCTGATGAACCCACAACCCACAATTCATGAGAGTACTTATGCCATTGTGCTACAAAATGTTTAGTTTGGAAAGAAGTATGCAAAACCCTACCAGCTGCTGAGGCTGTGGACTCAGCAGTAAGACTTAAAATTACAGCAACAGCAATTCCTAACATGCACTTTGTTCTTTTTGAATCTTTTCATGAGCTATTATTAATCCAAATGGTTTAAATACTTCTGGTTAAATTTGCAAAACGTTTTCTAATTCTGCCATGCTAAGTCCTGCAAAGGAATATCATCCATATAATGAGAAATATATAACTGAGGAAAATGCTATCTATAGGATGTAAAGCATTAGCTACATAAATCTGACATATAGTAGGCGAATTCATCACTCCTTGTAGGAATACTTTCCATTGATATCTTTAGTGTGGGCCTCTTATTTACATAAGGTGTTGAAAAAGCAAAACCTTTTCTCTCAGTGCAGTGAACAGGAGTAGTAAAGAAAAAAACAACAACAACAAAAAAGTATCTTGCCACCCGGGCAGTGATGGCGCATGCCTTTAATCCCAGCACTTAGGAGGCAGAGGCAGGTTGGATTTCTGAGTTCGAGGCCAGCCTGGTCTACAGAGTGAGTTGCAGGACAGCCAGGGCTACACAGAGAAACCCGGTCTCGAAAAACCAAAAAAAAGAAAAGTATCTTGCCAATCAATTACAATTACAGGCCAAGACGAAGGTGATGTAGATGGCTGAGGAATCCCGGGTTGCAAAGTTTCCATGGAATACATTAACTCCCCTTCAGTCTGTTAGCAATCCCCATTTCCCAGGCTTCTTAATCACAAAAGTAGGGGGTTCCATGGAGATGTAGATAGCTCTGTTTGCCCTTTTTGAAGTTACTCCTCAACCAAAGATTGTGCAGCACCCAATTTCTGCTTTGCTAAAGGCCATTGTTCAGTCCAGAGAGGTTTCACTTTTCCATAGAATTTTTATAGACTCTATCTGTAGAGTATTAAATGCTAAATGAGCACCCCATTGCTCTAAGACATCTCTTGTAAAAATACTAACATGTACTTGTAATAAGAAAGGTTTTAAAACAGCAATTTGCCCATCTTCAGTAATTAAAGACATGAACTAAACACTTTGTTTAATAGAGGTTACAGATTGAGAACCAATACCTTTTATTTCACAAGGCAATTGTTGTACAGGCCAAATTAAAGGCCAGTCTTTCTGTAATTATAGTAATATCAGACCCTGTATCTATCAGACCAATAAAAACTTTATTATTAATAGAAAATTTTATTCGTGGCTGTTATTTCCCTTTATTCATAATCCAAAAGACATTTGCCTGATTAGTTCTTCCAAAACCCCCTGATGAATTATATCAGACTATCCAATGGTATAGAAGGTAATAACAATAATTGAGCTATCTGATCTGTCTTAATTTGATAATCAGCTAATATAGATATCATAATTTGAAGTCTTATTAGCATAATGTGTAGTAGGTATTCTCGGGTTTTCTGAAAAAGTGGCCTTTAGTTGAGGGTAATATAATACATCGAGGATTAAACTCATATAATTGTTGACATTAGTCCTCCCCTGATTGACTAATTGAGCAAGAAGGGTAAGGTAAGCAGTTAGCATTTTATGGCCTTTGTGGTATAAATGAATTCATTCCAAAGGTTTATCCTCTTGTGCTGTATAACACCTGTAGGAAACCCTTTAATAAGGAGAATGAGTAAGTCTGAAGGCAGTGAAGAATCCACATTATACACAAATGTTTCTTTCTACACAAATGTCTGGAATCGGATTTCTGTAGCTCTTCCTTTGACTCTCAATATGTGAGCACTGTCCAATGCCATTTCTCCTTGTAGAATTTTAGATAAATTGTTTAGTGCATAATTAGGTATTCCTAAAGTAGGGCATAGCTGATGACTATCTCCCAATGATCTTTAAATGTTGCTTTTAGGCGGTGGTGGCGCATGCCTTTAATCCCAGCACTAGGGAGGCAGAGGCAGGCGGATTTCTGAGTTCGAGGTCAGCCTGGTCTACAGAGTGAGTTCCAGGACAGCCAGAACTACACAGAAAAACCCTGTCTCAAAAAAAAAAACAAAAACAAAAACAAAAAAAAAGAGCACTGGCTGAGCTGGGCGGTGGTGGCGCACACCTTTAATCCCAGCACTTGGGAGGCAGAGGCAGGCGGATTTCTGAGTTCAAGAGTTCGAGGCTAGCCTGGTCTACAGAGTGAGTTCCAGGACAGCCAGGGCTACACAGAGAAACCCTGTCTCGAAAAACCAGAAAAAAAAAAAAAAGAAAGTTGTTTTTAAATTGTCTTATCTAACGAGTGTTTCTTGAGGTTTAACACTTCTATTAACTAGTTGTCCCAAATATTCCACAGTATATACCTTTTTCAGGTGCAATAATAGGCCCATTGGTGTGTAGCATATTGTGAGTTATGTCATGGGTTGTATGTAGCTCTTCCTCTTTGGAGATGGCTAACAGCATTCATTCATATAATATAAGCCTAAGGGAAAGCTTGCCTCCCAGGAACTAAAACCTTTCCTGTGCAGTATTGACACATAGCGGGGGCTTTTGTCATGCCTTGAGATAATACAATCCAGGGAGAAAAAGAATTCTGTGTGCCCATTTTCCAACTGTTCTCTGAGTGACTGGTGAAGATTCTGTAGCTTTGCTTTGAAGGGCATAGGTTTCTAAAGCAACTAATTTTGCTCCATGTTTGTAGGTTGCCACATTTCTACAAAATTTCAGAAAGTTGATAGCATGTTCTATCTGAGATGTACTTGTTGGTGATCTTCATTAGCATTATCGTGCTGTTCACTAAGAACTTGAATTTGCGTCCCCTCTGATTCAGTCTTCCTGTGAAATCAGCATAGGGCTCAGATGGACCTTGTCTGAATGTTACAAGACTAGACAAGGGTCAGATCCCGATTCAGTTTTTATCCAAGGAACGATAGCTACATCCCAAATGTGGAAGGGCTGCTGGAGGTGTGTCATGGAGCCGATGCTCTGTTGGTCCTCATCTTCCAGTCCCTCTTAGCATTTCCTAGGAGACATTTCCAGGATCACCCCTAAGTCCTGGTGCTAAACTTTCATGGGCTTCATCTGTGAGCCACGTCTGCCATTGAAAGAAATTGGGCAGGGCTTAGAACCATTATGCCAATTAAGTGGAAATCATGTGACAACTTTGCGCATTACTCCAAACAAAAGGATACTGTTAACAGTATGGATCAGCAGGTCCATGGGAAATGCAAGCCTTTTAAAACTTTGAGTTATATCCTTCCCCTAAAGGTTCCTTTCTCTGGAAACCAGGAATACTTGCAAGCAATCTCATAGGATTTCAGTGCTTGCACTCCTCCTTTCTTTAAAAAAGATGTACACGCTCTGCATCAGATAAGGCCTCCTCTGGGTTCTGCCCCATTATTCTCAATCACATGTGAGCATCCCTGACTTTGGATTCCTGTTCTGAGTGCCATGTGTCACTGCTCTAGAGGAAGTGGCTCCTGGGAGAATGGAACTGACAAATGAGGTGGCCTAAAGACAATAGCCAGCTTTAGTCAGAGCATCAGATAAATCATACTCTTGGGTTTAAGAGGATTTATGTGAGTAAATGTTCAATCACAAGGGCAAGGCTCACCTGGTGGAGCAAGCTGAACGCAGCAAAAATGTTTTCCACAGAAGCATATAAAGAAAGAACAATAGCCAGTTTTAATGAATGATCTGAAGTAAACTCACTTCTATTTGCTACATCTGGGAGGGGCACAAAAACAGAATCTAAGAACAATTTATAATTCCTTGTGTCACAAGACTACAATCTTGGTTTCTTGGCATTTTCTTACGAGCACTTAGAAATCTCACATGATTCCAGTTTTGGGCTGTGTTCTAACAGTTGCTCTGGTGTTCACAGAGACCCCCGTGATTATGGAAGTTGATTTTTTTTCCCTTTTTTTTCTGTTGCAGTCTTACCATTAAGTTGACAGTGGATGAAGAGATGGCGCATTGCTTTTTGAAGTACATGTATATGCACGAGAAAGCATATATATTGCTGGTTTCGCTGTTGGTTGAGGGCATTTGTGAAAGAACTTTTGCACCTCAGTTCCTGCTTCATGTGTTTGGATATGTAGAACATCACGTGGGTACAATCAGATAAAATGTAGAAGTGAATCATTCAAGTGTGGTTAATGTGATTATGTGTATTGAATAACGTTTGATAATAATTTGTTTAAAGCATAGTTATGACCTCAAAATCTAAAATAACATGGATCATTGTTAGCATCTACAACTTAATTGACAAAGTCGAGTACTTTTTATAATCACACCACCACCACCACACCCCATAGAACTAAGAACAATCACTTCATTGAAACCTGACTTCTCAACATTTTGAGCTCCTCCTACCTACACAAACCTGGCCCTCTTACCATATTTATCTACATAACTATATTTGTATGTATGTGTGTATGTGTTTACTAAGTTTAATTTAACCATTATATCCAGTTCTCCCCAGATAACATAAAGTTCCTACCAAAATTGCATCGTGATCTAAGGACAGATTCTTGCTCTGACAGAGCTCTAGAACAGTGTTGGCACCAAATACACATAAGAGTTTGAGGGCTTGTTGTGGTAGTCAGACTGCCCATGCTGAGTCCAGCCTCAGGAAGAAATTAGGAAAATGGGTGAGATAGGTAAGGCAGCCGCTGCTCACCTGTCACTGCCTCAGGTCCTCTGCTCACCCAGCCATCCAGTAGCAGGGCCAGCACGATGATGTCACATGCCTTCTTAACCTGATTTGGAATTCACAGATCATTGTTTCCTTAAGAAAGCAGTTACGGAAGGTGGCTCATTGCTGTCATCACAGTAGTTCTTTGTAAGTTAAACAGGTCACTGACCGGGCTAAATGAAGCAAACATTATTTATGACTTTTTTTTTTAAGTGGGAAAAATGGTCTGAATTTCAAAGGACATTCTCACAATGACTGAACCACAACCCATTGGAGTTGTTGCCGAATTATACACACTTGTAATGTTTCTTGACTTCCACTTACAGAACCGAAGGAGCTAGCTCTTTGATTGACAAAGCCATGGGGCAGACCCCTTCCTACGTCAGAACAGGAATAGGAAGCAGGGCTTGGCGGGTGACACCTGCTCACACGGAAGCATCTAGATGAATCTGAGTGATTACAGAGTTGTTAATGAGGACATTTTTGGTACTTCCTGTCTTCTCTGCAGCTCTCTCAGAAGCAGCCAGGCCAGGGAGCAGCTAATCCCATGTGCATGACAAACCCTCTCCTCCCAGACTCACTGGGTTAAAAGAGATCCTGGATTTACTTCCTTCTGTGTTCAGGACCTTTTTATGAGAAGATGGTCATAACCCCAGCGCGGGCTCTTGGCTATGCACTGTGGGCGTGGCCTCTGACAGTTTGGTATGATCGACTTCTTTGCAGCTCCTCCTCACCCTACTCCTCTGTCCAGCTTTCGGTCAGATCTAGAATCACAGCAAAATGTAATTCGTGAGCTTGTTTGGGTGTGCAGGGCTATGGTGGCAGTGACTGGTGACCCAAAAATATCGCTGACCTCCCTACCACGTGGGTTAAAACAGACTTATCAAAGATACCTTCTTGGTATCTTTGGAACTTAGTTTGACTGCATTTGATGCCAACATTTTTTTTCTAGAGCTCTGTCAGCAAGAAACCTAGGAGCTAAGTGCAGTTTTGAAAAACATTTTGTTATTTTGGCAGAACAGGGTATAATGGTTAAATTAAACTTACTAATATAAGTATGTCACTAAAACATAAAGAGGCCCGGCTGTGTGGGTAGAGGAACTCCCTTTACCCCTGGAGGATTTGTCCTCTGCAGTATGTTTGAGGTTCTTCCCTTAGTTTCTATACTGGATGCCATCCTATCAGGCTTTCCTGAAGTAACAACTTCTTTGGAACTCCCACAAAGATGGCTGAGTCTCCCCTGAGAGCTTCTTGGATATGGAAGCCGACCTGCCAGCCTGAGCATCTGAGCCCTGTGACATCTTGTCACTGCCCTACCTGCCGACATAACTTTAAGCCAATAGTTATCAGTTGCCAAGTTCATCAGCCACTATTGGGCTTTGTTGTTCTTTGTAGGTTCGTTGGTGTCCTCGCTAGTATTAGAGCCTAACCTACCCTGTGGTGTGCTCTGGGCACTACGTCCATTAAACCATGGTTTTTAGGACTTCATTTTAGGATTTCAACTGAGTAATTGGAAGTTACTGGGTTTATTTTTATTTAATGTAAGAGTGGAAATCAAAGGGATAGCAGGTTTTCTTCTTTTGTTTTCAGAACATGTCTCTTGTTGCCTTAAGGGTAGGGTGTTTATGGGTCCAGGGAAGAATCAAGAAAAGCTAAAATAAAATGAATAAACAGTAGCCAAATGAGGAAAATAATCTAGAAGGAGTTTCTGGTTTTGTTTTAACAAACCTAACCTAAGAATAATCCTGCTTTCAGAGCAAACAATGTAGGCCATAACTGGCCTGCTGAAAAGACAGATTGTCAATAAGTGTTTGGTCATAAAGGAGTCCAAATTATAGAATTTGTTGACATGGCCTCACAATAATTCTTAAATAAGTACAATAAAGATAGTTGAGATGTATACAAGGATAGTTTTTGTGAAGTTGAAGTCTTTGGATTTGCAATGTTCCATTCTTTACAAAGCCTCCGTCCCACCTTTGTCGGTCTTGCTGTCAGTAGTGGTTAACAGTCCGTTTCTCTTGACACACCTCGAGTGTGGCCCCACCTAGGAGGCTTTTGAAGCTGTGGGTTGGAGATATCTCCACTCTGTTTCTGGTAAGATACTGCCTCATTTTCAGTGGTTTCCTACACTTATCAACTGGTGCCATGTATTCCTCGCCCTGAGTGACTTAGAGCTAGCTTTCTCAGATGCCAAGATTACAGACTCTGGAAGTTTCACGGGCCTTTACGTCCTTCCAGCTTTAGAGAAGCATATGCCTAACTAAACCAGCTGCTAGAGAGCAGTGGATGCTTTCAGGGAAAACCGATCTTACTTTCAGAATTCTGCCAACTGAAACGACAATGGACAATGGCTAATTGGGACTGAGATGTTCTTGCTTCTAGCTGCAGAGCCCATCTGAGGACTGAGCCTATCCCATGTGCACATCCAGGATGGAGCTCTGGTCCCCGTGCTCAAGGAGCCCCCGGGTAAGGCACGGCATTACCAGCCACCTAAATAAAAAGTGATTAGTGATAGCTCTCAGTGAGGAGAGCAGACCTGTCTTGGGCATTTTTAAAAATGGGGCGTTTTGTTTTGTTTGAGGTGGGGTCTCACCACATAACTATGGCTAGCCTGAAACTCTTCATATAGTTGAAGAACTCACAAAAAACTTCCTGTCTCTTGTCTCCCAAATACTGAGATTAAAGGCATGTGGCTGGCTTAATAAACTGGTTGTGTGTGTATTATGTGTGTAAATGAATATCTTTCAAGAGCCAAGTGTGGTGTCACATGCCTTTGATCCCAGCACTTGGGAGGCAGAGGCAGTGAGATCTCTTGAGTTCAAGGACAGCATGGTCTGCAGAGAATTACAGGACAACCAACATTATACAGGGAAATGAAGTCTCAAAACCAGTAAAAACAAACGTCCTTCCAAGATTGTAAGTGTTCATGAGTGCAACTATTCAAGTGTACAGTTTAACAAGACTTCCCCAATCTTCTGGATAGAGGCCCAGCTGCCACTGGTTGACAGACTCTGTCATGAAGTAGACACTACTTTTTATATGTGCTCTGTAAAAGGTTTCGTAATACTTTTTTTGAGAATATGATTTTTTTTTCATTTATTGAATAATGTCAAATTTTATGTATTTTACAGTCTATGCATTTTAAGTTAAGCTGCCTGAAGCGTGGTTTGAGACATGTTTATACTGTAAGCAATGGAAGATACTAGGTTTTGTCACCTGCTGCTGTATTTGGAAACAAAGACAAATGTTGCTTGAAGAAGTAATTATAATTAGAAGTAGGCTATTGATGTGATAATTGATATTTTTAAGGTAAACTTGTTTGCTTTTGTGTGTAATTCTTGAAAGCTTTTTTTTTTTAAAAAAAAATGTATTTTCGTGATTTGACGGTTTCTTCGTGTATTTTATTACCTGGGCCCAGTTCTGGGCTTCCCTAAACAAGTTCAGAGCCCTCTTAGCTTCCTGTTTGTAGTAATAAAGAAAACAAGGGTCTGCAATACCTGTTTGTATGTGGCCTGCATTCTCTAAAGAGCTCTACCAGGCAAAAACCCTTCAGCACCAGGATGCCAGGACCTGGGGTTAGGACTGTCCCCAGGGTGAGGCCACCCGGCTTCTCTCTACCTAAAGTTAGGAAGCCGTGCCTGCCACCTATGGCCATCATCCCCACTTTCTTACCAACAGTAACTCCTTTTGCTTTGACTGTTACACATACAGTAGAATCGGTCACACTGAGCCCAATGTACTTGATCCTGTCCTTGGGAGTCAGCCAGCCTCACAACTCGTGTGTGGGCCAAGAGGGAAAATATTGGAAGAGATCACAGCCTTGACCTTTTAAAATAAACTTGGGATGTGTATGATATTCTATGTGCCTGAAAGTGCCCACCTAAAATAGAGCTAAGAGAAGGGAAGTCCCCATCCTGGGGATGGGCCCAGTTGGTTGATTGGCTTTCTCATTGTAAAACGGCATCATCTAACACATGCTAAGTTTCTTGACCCAGTAGGTCTTTTTACCACCATAAAACTGAAACCTAACATGACCGCAATTATTCAGGTCACACACACACACACACACACACACACACACACACACACTAATCCCAGGAGAGTTGTGCAAGCCATGCTGCAAGGTTTATTTCTGTAGTATATACATGTTTTCTTTGTAGATTTACTTTTATGTCTAGTTTTGCATGTGTCTGAATATAGGCCTTTGGAAGCCAGAAGAGTGCATCAGATCCTTGGACCTGAAGTTACAGATATTGAGCTGCTTGAAGTAGATACTGGGGACCAAATTAGGTTCTCTGGAAGAGCAGCCAATGCTCTTAGTCATTTAAGCCATCTCCTGTTTTCTTAATTAAACAAATTAAGCAATTCCTCCTGATATCATTATGTGGTGCTCTGGAGTTCAGAGATGGAGTGAAAGAGTGGTTTCTTGGCACTGCCACTAGAGCAGGCCCGCTTCACCTACTTCAAATACTTACCCAGAAGTCGTTTAGAGTGGGGGAAAGATTTCCCATTTAAGTTATGGAAACTGGTATTGTGCGTTACTACAGTGACTCCTGGTTGAAGTTTACCTGGTTCCTGATTGCAGGTTCTAGGAATAGTGTAATCGGGTCTTAGGGTGTCCAGGCTGTGAGCCCTACTGAAGTCTTGGCTTTTTATAAGCCAAGAGGAAGTTAATGGGTTGGGAAGATGGCTCAGTGGGTAAAGCACTTACCAGACAAGCACGAGGATCTGGACCTCAGTACAGGCCAGTGTGGTAATGCATGGTCTGTAATCTCATCAGACCTACTGGGATGCAAAAGAATTCCTGGAAACTTGTGGACAAGCTAATCTGGGGTGCACAGCAGCAAAGAAGCACAAGAGACTACTTCAGGTTAGAAAGATATAGACACTGAGGTTGTCCTCAAGCATCTACATGTACATTGTGGCACACACACATGAACATTTCACACATGAATGCATGTGCACAAAAACAGGGCGTTGAAACTCTACTGTGTTTTATTGCCTATTAAGCCTCCTTTTATGTAACAGTTACTTGTTAAATAATTAGGAATAATAAGGAACAGCCAATCTTCCTTAAGGATGGTTTAAGGTGGTTTTAAAGGGTAGCTTCTGGGGGACTGGAGGGGACTCAGCTGTCATGAGTCCTGGCTTCTAAAGGACCTGGTTTGTTTCCCAGCACCTGTGTTCAGCATCCATAATTCCAATTTTAGGGGGTCTGATACTGGTCTTCTGACATCTGGGCACCAGGCACAAACATACAGGTAAAACATCTGTATACTCATTAGAATAAGGATTAGCAGCTGATTAGAGCTAAGAATCCAAGTTTAAAAGAAGTTATATAAGCCAGATAGTGGTGATCCACACCTTTAATCCCAGTACTTGCAGGCAGAGGCAGACAGATCTCTTGAATTCGAGGCCAGCCTGGTCTACAGATAGAGTTCCAGGGCCACACAGAAACTCTTGTCTCAAAAAAAAAAAGTTATGTAAATCCCAAGGCCATCTCTCCTGTTAGACTGCCTGTCACTGGGTTGTGCCACACTCAACCACCTACTACACTTTCATATGCTTCCTTCATGGCCAGTCTGGCTAGACCTTTGTCATGAGCCATTCAGCCTTGATTTTGCCCTTAGTGTACCCTGACTAGGTGTCATAGCTCTGGGGATGCTTTTCAAGGAAAAGACTCATTCAAGAGGCCTTGTAGGCCTTGTATCACCTGACTTTTTATGCTGCATTTCCTGTGAGCTAGTGGTGGCTCTGTCTGCCGTTCATACGCTCTGTGGTCATTCCAATGCCTGTTGGAATGTCCTCTTGGCTGTTTGAGGCATCTTTTTGACCTCTAGGGCCTGTGTTCCTCGGGAAGAATCAAATGCTTCCGAATTGTCACATTGGTGTAGTCCTCAGGCTGTTGGAACTCAATTCCCATCACTGCCGTGACCATCTCACAGATGGCAATGCTCTGCACACTGGGAAATTGGTTTTGTAGGATGGGGCTGACTGTCACAGTTGTCTCTCACACCTACCGTTCACACTCTGCTCTTGCCATCTGCAGCATCTGCTTGAAGAACAATCTAGAATGGGTAATTCACATAGAACTCCATGTTACAAATGACATCTGCCTCAGCGTGCAGACTGCATGTGACTGACATCATAAGCAGCTCCGATGTCAGTTTGTGTGCAAGTGGCATCTCAAAATCCTCCAAGCTTGGCTATCTGTTAGCTGCCAGTGCCTTTCATGGATAGAACTCAGAAATCACATCTTATTCAGCAGGAAAAGTCTCACTCTTACACAATTTGTATAAAGAAAGGCTTAGCATCACGGGAGGGGGGGGAGTGTTGCAGCTGGGGAGAAGTACGTGGAGACTTGATAGGCTTTGGTGTGATACGCTATTGAGTGTATTGAGTGGGTTAGTGCGTTATAAAATCATTCAACGTGATGCTCATTTGTGTGCACACTGGCGCATTTTTAGAAAGCACATGGAAAGATGACTCAGCGGTTAACAGCACTTGGATGCTTTTCCAAAGGATCCAAATTCCCAGCAGCTCAGGACCACCTGCAGCTAGCTTGGGTGGATCTGATGTCTTCTGGTGTTTGTAGGAACTGGGGTCAGAGGGAATACATTCACACAGGCACACACACACATAAATAATAAATCTAAAAGGTATATGGAACCTAAACATTTCATTGCTGAAGAGAATCTATGCAATAGCGCATCTCTGTAGTTCCAGCACTTCGGAGGATTCTAAGCTCAACGCCAGCGGTGCTTACACAGCAAGAGCCTGTCTCCAATGAGTCATTCCACAAAGCCCTAGTTTCTCTTGCATAGAGAAAGGCAAATAAACATAACATTCGTGGAAATTGATTCTTGAGCAGGAAGCAGTAGCATGAGGCCATACCTAACATTTTTTTCTTCCTTTTAGTTAATCGCCTTAACACAGTTTTATAGAATATGAGCATACAGGGTCTTCTGCCCATCGATTGGCTCAGTCCGATGTTTATCCGACACCAAGACATGTTCTTGAGAAAGAACATCAGTGAGTCATGGACCAGCATGCCACACCCAGCCCTAGACACATGAAGAGACCATTGTGAAACACTCTAGCCTGTTGGAGAGAATAAGAGACTGAATGTAGCCCTGCAAACACAGGAGACAGTGGGGTGATGTTTCTCATTGTGTTACTAAGGTTAAGTGGAAGAAAACAAAGAGCCAATATTCTTCATCCTGGCTGTGTTTTAAGTCGTGATCCCACTGCTTGCTAGATAACATCACATTGAGCAAGTCACTTAGCTCAATACTACCATTGTTTGCTCAGCTATAAAACTAAGATTGCAGTAAATACCTAACCACATGGAGTTATGTGAGCCTCAGCCACTGAACACCAGGTGTCATGCAAGCTTATCCAGAGGCCTGGAGGTTATTGTCTCTCTCGAGCTTATAAGGAAACAAGTGAAAACAGAGCCTGTTGTCCATGAGTCTCTCTCGAGCTTATAAGGAAACAAGTGAAAACAGAGCCTGTTGTCCATGTGTGTGATGTCACTGGTATGGGAAACTAACTCAACAGTGTGAGCCTCACAGTTGCTCAGCTACTGTTTGTGGCACTGAGTCTCTCAAAATCCCCTCATCAGGCCCTCACAATGTGCACAGAAGGATGACATTCAGGGTGGACCCTTCAGAAAAACCTGTCTCAGGATGGAGTCACCTTAAGCTACTTAATCCTCAGCCATATTCTCTGAGTCAAGTCTATGCCCTGTTGGATAGAAGGGAACAGGTTCAGTCAGGTGTTGTGGGCTTTAGGGAAACGTGAAGGGCAGACAGATGCTCTGTCCCAGGAGGAACCATGTCTATAGGAGCCATTCAGCCTTGAGTGGGGACATTCTCCACAGACCAGAGACTGGTTCATTGGGTACAGATTTCCATGCATCGTCATCCCCATAAAGTCAGCAGCCAGCCTGCAAACACAGCTTGTTCCTTGGCTGCATGCAACCACACCATCCCTTCCTGCTGTGTCTGGAAATACAGAATCTATTCATCCCAAAGACTCAGGCCCACTAGGAGTTCTAAACACCTCAAGTCAGGATGCGAGCAGTGGTCCAGTTCTGGCCCCTAGGGAAGCACTCCAAAGGCTGAAGCCGGGTTGTGAGCTCCAGGTCAGGACCCAGTGTGATAGTGATAATCCAACAAGAAAGATGAAGAGGGAAAGGCAACAGAAAAGGGACCAAAGGAAGAGGGCAGCATGGTGGCCCGTGCCTGTCATCTCAGCACGCAAGAGGCAGAGTGGAGGCATGGGTGGTCACCTCATTTAGAGACCAGACTGCTTGGCAAGCTGGGGGTGTGTATAAGACTTAAGAAAGAGAAGGGCTGGAGGGAACCAGGACTGCTCCTGCATAGGACCTAAATTTGGTTCCAACACACGGCCCCCCACCCCCGCCCGGCTCACTACCAGTGTAACTCCACCCCAAGAGGTCTGACACCCTCTTCTGGCCTCTATGATGCACTT